TAAAAAATCATGAGAACTTATTCTTTGAAAAAAATAACCAATAGTTGGTTGTCTAGATAGCAGCTGCCAAAACCTTAGGAGGCTGAAGCAAGATTTATGGAGTTCAAGGTCAGCCTGGGCTACAGAATGAAGCCAGTCTCAAAAAATAAGAGCACTAACAAAAAGCCATTTCCTTTTAATTTGTGTGTGTGTACTATATGAGTAAAGATGCTCCAGTGGTCAGAGGTGACAGATCACCTGAAGCTGGTGAACTGCCTGATGTGGGTGCTGGGAATTGAAGTTGGGTCCTCTAGAAGAGGACTAAGTACTCTTAACCACTGAGCTATCTCTCTGGCCCCCAAAGGCATTACTTTTTTTAATAACTCTTTTATTTGCTTGTGTATGAGTGTTTTGCCTGCATGCATGTTAAGTACACCATATGCAAGCAATGCCCACAGAGACCAGAAGACATCAGATCCCCTGGTACTGAAATTATGAGTGGTTGTTACCAGCCATGTGGGAGCTGGTAACTAAAACCCTGGTCCTCTGCCAGAACAACGAGTGCTCTTAACTGCTAAGCCATCTCTCCAGCTCCCTCCCGCCAAAAAAGTGGCATTCTTCACACCTTTTTAAAGGCACAAGACTTACCACTTCTTTATCAATTCCCTTTTCAAACACCTTTGTTATAAAATAGCTCTTGAGAATTTAAAAACCAAACCCCCCAAGTTAGCATGCTTTGAGTACCTCACATGCTGAAGGAATTCCCAGGTATGTGGGAGCAAGGGCAGGATATTGGTTCATTTTCAAACCCCTAGACTGGAAACCTGGGCTTTTTTGAAAATTCTAGCTATCTTGAATTGTGGTCCTGGCTAGGATTTTAGAACACAATATATCAACAGGTACGATTTACACTTTTCAAAGCTGCCCCCATTATCAAATATTAGTACATCAAGCAAAACTAACTCAGCAAAGCCCACAATAAAAATTAGTATTTAGTGACTTGATTAATCCACTGTGTAGAAAGTGCATGATTCAGAAATAGATATTTAGGGTAAACAAAGGCTTCTGACGGAGAGCCACACCTTTCCATTTGCACTCAGTGATGATTACCAGCTTCAAAGAAAGCCTAGAAGCAGCACAAAAACAACACTGGCAGCTCTGTTGTGTGCCTGTTTAATCTCTAATATTATCAGACCTTGGGGATGCAGAGATGGTTCAGTGGTTAAGGGCACTGACTAATCCTGCAGAGGACCAGAGTTCAGTTCCCATCACCCTCCATGGCAGTTGAAAACCTTACCTTCAGTTCCAGGAGATATGACACCCTCTTCTGGCCTTTTCAGGCACTGCACACATGGATGCACTTACATACATGCAGCCAACAGTCATAGACATAGAAAAAAAAAAAATCAGTATCAGACCTCTATTTTAAGAGAATGGAAAATTCTAGATGTTAACTTCTCCAAACAAAATGTAATTTTAAAGGCTGGGAAGATGGCTCAGTCAGTAAAATGCTTGCAGTTAAAGCATGAGGAAGTAAATTCAGATCTCCAGCACCCACACACAAAGCCAGGCACTGCAGCTGTTCACCTGTAATCCCAGCACTAGGGAGGCAAAGATAGGAGGATCCCAGAGGCTCAATGGAATCTGCCTGACTAAATCTGTGAGATCCAGGTTTAGTGAGAGACCCTGTATCAAAAAAATAAGGTAGGGAGTAGAAACGACCTAAATACAGTGCTTATGTATGAAATTCTCAAAAGCTAAATTAGTTAAGAATAAATAAAAATAAGATAGGAATGAAATGTTTGAGGTATAAAGGAGGACACTGAGGTGGACAGATGGTCTTTGTGGTAAAAAATTTATTACAAGAATGATTAACACCACAGGGAGTCAGCATGGCAGGTCTCTGAGGCGAATTCAGGCCCACAAGGCAGAGTGGGAGTCCCTT